GTGCTGGACATAGAAGCGCTGTTCCAAGAATATTTAAGTAATTCGACGAAATTCGGGAGAGCGGAACAGAACTTGTTGATTCCGATGCACCTCCAAATATTTTAGACACTTTGAAAAGGAAACAAGAATTGTGGTGGAAATTAGATGAAGATATTAATCAGGTTTGAATGAAAAGGACATTGAAACAGAAATCGTGGACTAAGATGAGTATTTATTAATCTAAAACAAAAGTACATCAAATAGCCAAATTTATCACAGTACAAACAGCATCGCTAACTACAAATGCCACAAGCTTTACAAACTCTAGAAGCGACGTTCCGCCGTCAGATCCTAGTAATCTCTTAAGCACAGAAAATCAGCACACTACACATTTCCGTTCAGATTTCGTTCATATTCTTCAATTGCTAGAGAGTACAATAAGCCCCCTAAACTCAATCTACGAACTTTCGATGGTGACATTCTACAATGGCAGTCCTTTTTGGACTCGTATGAAGCAGGCGTACATACAAACTCAACACTAAGTAACGTCCAGAGGTTCAATTACTTGACGTCATTGTTACACGATGAAGCTTTACAAATCGTAAATGGCTTTGCGCTTACAAACTCAAATTACGAAAGAGCAGTTTCGTTGCTACAACAAAGGTATAGACAAGTTCACAAAATCACGCAAAAGTACATGAACGCATTATTTGAAATACCGTCACCCAAGAACATCTAACAGAGCTTACGCAATTATAACGACAACATTGAAACATATGTACGTGGGTTAGAATCTCTTGGTCAGACAAAGGATACCCATGGCTCATTATTGGTCCCCATCATATTGATAAAGTTACCGGGAGATGTACGCATAAATCTTACAAGACACCATGGTTAAACTAGTTGGCAATTAAATATACTACAACAAATAATATTTCACGAACTCACATTATGGAGGAAGAAATGTAATAAATGGCATCGATTATACTAGTTCATGCACAGACGAGGTATAACAAGATGAAAATCAGAGTGATGCAGATGTAAATATCAGCACAATTCAGAAAACACAACATAACGCGATGGAAACGGGCACATTTCTTTACTCAAAAGCACAGACAAACGTAATACTAAACACTGCCGTAGCATAAGTAAGTTTAGGATTTACTGACGCAAACATTTTAATTTGAAGAGGGCACACAGAGGTCCTTCATTACAGAAAAACTAGCTACAGAACTAATTCTGGCCATTAACGGACAGGAGACCGTAAACTGTTCAGGATTTGGTGAAACAAATGAGAGCAAAATGGTCCAACATCTAAACACTGGTACCATTTACCTACTTAATGATGACGGACAATTACCCATCAACGTTTTGATTGTACCAGAAATAGCTTAACCATTGAAAACGTATGTACATAAGACAGCACATTTAAAGTATTTGCATGGTTTGAAATTAGCCCACCCCGTCTCACATGACCCTTTGTTTGAAATTGATCTACTGATTGGATCTAAATATTACTGGTCGATTGTCGAGGATAAAATAGTACGAGAAGCAGAAGCTACTGCCGTCAAGTCTAAAATTGGATACCTTGTGTCCGGCCCGATCAATGGTAATCCAGATCATACACGTACGTCAACGATGAACGTATGAGGAAGTCACAAAGTTGAACATGTTGAAGAGCTTAACTTGGAGAAGTTTTGTGAAATTGAAGCTGCTGGAATTGAGAGTACTGACATCAAATCTGAAAGTGTGAAATTTAAAGTTGCATATGAGGAGAATTGTATTAGTTACTATGGAAACAGATATGTTGCTAAGCGACCTTCGAAGGAGGAGCACCCTGCGTTTTTAGACAACATAAGTATTGCACAACAGAGAACCGGAAAAGTCATAAAGCGTTTTAGTCATGAACCTCAACTTTTGCAGATATACGGACAAATTATAAATAAACAAGAAAAACATGGACTAGAACGGGTTAAATATAAATTGTGAAAAGTTAATAAAAGTAAATGTGTGATTAGTATATTGACATTTAAGTGAATAACCACGGACTGTTACATAGATTACACAGAGACTTTAAAGTATTAATTTATTTTTTCAGAACTTTTATCATTTAATTAGTGGTCACTTTTATTTATTGTAAAGTAATTCATTTGCAGTATGTTGGAAGTAACGCATAAACATAACGTTATCGCTGCCGCTATTCATTGTAACGTCACTTAAGTGTGACGTATTGATATTAGAGTTTGAATGGAGATCCATATACTAGTATGTTAGACATCTTTGTTATTGTTGGCCATATAGCTGTCCTATTTAACCACTTAACGATAATATCATCAATGTTTATGAGCCTTTTTTGGCCAAACTGAATGCTTTTAACTAAATATTTAACAGAAATAATATGTTATGTAGGGGTATTTGCGAAAAATACCAGTCAAGGGACTGTGAAATTTTACGAGCCGCTAGGCGAGGGAAATTTGGTCCCAAGACTGGTATTTTTCGCAAATAACCCTCCATAACATGATATATCTGTTTAACTACACCGAATATATTTTGATTGAAATTCTCTGTACAGGTGAAGGGAAATCCTTTTTTTTACTAGTAAGCTGTAATCCATAAACATGTTTATGCATAATTTTGAGAACAAGTAGAGACTATCATAGTACCGCGGGAATTATGCATGTACTTATACGCGTTAGCGCTGTGTTTATGTAACGACATGGTGTCTAGGTATTAACGTCATTGTCATTCCATCATTAAATCGTTCATTTGTATAGACGTCTTTTTCCACTTTATATACACAACGCATTCTTCAATATAAGCCCACAACATATCAAAATCCGGCATTCTTATATAAGGTGTAATTATATTTCAAAATAAGGCGTTCATTAAAAAATACTAGAAACAAAAAGAATCGTGTTTAAAATTTTTGACAAAATCGTAGCTAATGCCCCTTTATTCTTCATAAGACCTACTAGCACCTTGATCAATCAGGTATGATGGAACAACAGTACTCATTATGGACTAAGAAGTCGACAGAAACATATCGACATGAGATGGGGTCATGTGCTGTTTTATTTCCACAGGAGAATAATAACTTGAATACAGTGAGCATTTTACTTGAAACAATAAATGATGAAACTGGTGACACTAGATCTGTTTTACCTCAAATGTGTGAATGTTAGACTTAAATCATGATGTACGGTGATACTGTATTGGTTTTGTGTCATAGCACGTTAACTGATTTTTTTTCCTCATTGAAATATTAACAAAATGAATGGAGAGGTAAACATTACTGTATATGAATTGTACACCCTCCTTTATACCCGGTATGTTTTACAATCTTTATTATTCGATCCTACGTATAACATGGCTGCTCGTACATATATACAATTGTGAACAGTTCACATGTATGTATTTGACTTTTCAGGTATCATCAGATACCTTTTTAGAACATACTAGGAGTATTTAAGTTGACGACCATCTGACTCCAACGACAATCAAATTTTGTATTTTACCTGGCTATTAACTCAAAATGTCTGATATGTGTAAATTTGCCGGACTTCGAGGGCGGAAGTTTTACTACTCGGCAAGAAAAACAACAATTAGTACCCTTCTGTATTATGGTGTTGCACCAAATGCGGATAACGAGAACAAACTGGTTCAGTGGTGCTCTTGGAGGACAATTAATTTCTATTCTGGAAATCATGAGCATAGACTAAAATTTAAACGTGTCCGCGTAATTGAACCTGATAGTGAATAAATAGCAAAATATAAACTTAGTAACTTGTAGATATTCCTGTTTGAATTGTTTTACACCAGTCATTTTGGGGCCCTTTATGAATGCCGTACTTTGACCTATAATTGTTTACTTTTGTAACACATTGTGACTTGGATGGAGAGTTGTCTCATTGGCACTCATACCACATCTTCTTATTTATATTATAATAGAGAAGTAAAAAAAAAAATGTAGTTATTCTGGAAACAAAAGTTATGGATAATCTTGATTTGAACTTCTTATACAAATTCAGTTTAGAGCATTTGCCGTATTCTTAATAAAGTACAAATGTATATGGTAAATAGGTAATGATGAGGTATTTTTCATATTATTCCTCATATGAACCCAAAGGCCTTCTTCCTTATATAGAAATCTCGGGCTTATAAGAGGTTTAATACGAAACATGCCATATAATAACCTATAATTGTCCCATACCAGGCATACAAATTCCTAAATAGTTTATAAACCAGCCAAATACATTTGTTAAATTCAGCAAATACAGAAATTGAATGTTCAGGTACATAATGGAAAATTTGAAAACAAATCTTTTTGTCGTAAAATTTCAGTTCTCAACCTACCCTTATTTTGTTGATTTCCAAATGTAAGTCACGATATGAAGCATAAACTACTCTTTCTGTGAAATTTTTTTGGGGGGATGGGGGTTCATTGTAACAATTTGGCATGATTAATTTTGTTTCGTTTGAGCATTCCTGATGAATGAAATCAAGAAAAATCCTAGTTTTTTTTTCATTTCCTATCACTGGATCGATATTGCGGCTTGCATGTCCCCGATGTTATCATCAGCCCAGAACCCTGCGTTGATAATTTAAAAATGATTAAAACACTAGTATATGTTGATTTTTAGATTTCCAATTCTTTTTTTTTTTTATTTTGTTCTGTTGGTGTATTATCATAAAAACTGACCATGAAATATAACGATTGATGATACGAGTTATAAAGGGTTGACTTAAAACTTTGCTTAGGGTACAAAGCAAGGTATTCACGTCATCGAAATGGTCAAAAGTACATGCAAAGATCCAAAATTATATTTGATAAAAAAAATAAACACGAAAACGTGACACACTTCCTATGTTCCTGTTTGTCCTTCACAGCAATTGTTCACCCAACAATCTACTTGACCTTATAAGGTCGTATTTACGTCCAGGAAATCAAAAGTGGGGTACAAATGTAGATTATATAAATAATGAAATATAAAACAACCAGACAATAATCATTTCAACGACCGGATATGTATGTATTAAACAGACGGACAATGAGCATGATGAGGAACTAATGATTGCAATAATTCATATGTATATAGTATAACAACATTGATTTGTACAAGTATGTACGAATGAAAACAGAACTGACAACCACAACGCATTTTTGAAACAATGTAGACATACTCCAGGTTTATTATGCACTTCAATTTGTTTTTTATGTTTGTTTATGTTGACAGAGTCATAACACTGAAGACGGGAGATCCATATGTGTGTCCAAAAAAAGTAAAGACAAGGTACGTTATTTGTGTTAAGGTAGTTCAGGGGTATAGAAAAAAAATGACAGAATTTTCTTATACTTTGTGAACTTAAATTTTGTAGCATGGTAATTGAAAAAATCAAAAAAAAATTGGGGGTCACCGGCCATCTAAGAGATTTTTTGACCTCTGAAAATGAGTGCAAATAGGCTATATGGATATATAGGGAAAATGGACATAAAACCTCTTTGATTGAATTTTTACAGCAAACAAATTGACAGAAGTTGCTCATTTTTTCATACTGAAAAGTTTGATGTCCTTATTTTATGAAATTGGAATAAAATTTGGGGGTCACCGGCCATCCAAGAGATTTTTTGACCACTAAAAATGAGTGCAAAAAGGCTAAATATAGGGAAAATGGACATAAAACCTCTTTGATTGAATTTTCACAGCAAACAAAATGACAGAAGTTGCTCATTTTTTCATACTGAAAAGCTTGATGTCCCTATTTTATGAAATTGGAATAAAATTTGGGGGTCACCGGCCATCCAAGAGATTTTTTTACCTCTAAAAATGAGTGCAAAAAGGCTAAATATAGGGAAAATGGACATAAAAACCTCTTTGATTGAATTTTCACAGCAAACAAAATGACAGAAGTTGCTCATTTTTTCATACTGAAAAGCTTGATGTCTTTTTTTTATGAAATTGGAATAAAATTTGGGGGTCACTGGCCATTCAAGAGATTTTTTGACCTCTAAAAATGAGTGCAAAAAGGCTAAATATAGGGAAAATGGACATAAAACCTCTTTGATTGAATTTTCACAGCAAACAAAATGACAGAAGTTACTCATTTTTTCATACTGAAAAGCTTGATGTCCCTTTTTTATGAAATTGGAATATAAATTTGGGGTTCACCGGCCATCCAAGAGATTTTTTTACCTCTAAAAATGAGTGCAAAAAGGCTAAATATAGGGAAAATGGACATAAAAACCTCTTTGATTGAATTTTCACAGCAAACAAAATGACAGAAGTTGCTCATTATTTCATACTGAAAAGCTTGATGTCTCTATTTTATGAAATTGGAATAAAATTTGGGGGTCACCGGCCATTCAAGAGATTTTTTGACTTCTAAAAATGAGTGCAAAAAAGCTAAATATAGGGAAAATGGACATAAAACCTCTTTGATTGAATTTTCACAGCAAATAAAATGACAAAAGTTGCTCATTTTTTCATACTGAAAAGCTTGATGTCTCTATTTTATGAAATTAGAATAAAATTTGGGGTCACCGGCCATCCAAGAGATGTTTTGACCTCTAAAAATGTGTGCAAAAAGGCTAAATTTAGGGAAAATGGACATAAAAACCTCTTTGATTGAATTTTCACAGCAATCAAAATGACAGAAGTTGCTCATTTTTTCATACTGAAAAGCTTGATGTCTCTATTTTATGAAATTGGAATAAAATTTGGGGGTCACCGGCCATCCAAGAGATTTTTTGACCTCTAAAAATGAGTGCAAACAGGCTAAATATAGGGAAAATGGACATAAAACCTCTTTGATTGAATTTTCACAGCAAACAAAATGACAGAAGTTGCTCATTTTTTCATACTGAAAAGCTTGATGTCTCTATTTTATGAAATTGGAATAAAATTTGGGGGTCACCGGCCATCCAAGAGATTTTTTTACCTCTAAAAATGAGTGCAAACAGGCTAAATATAGGGAAAATGGACACAAAAACCTCTTTGATTGAATTTTCACAGCAAACAAAATGACAGAAGTTGCTCATTTTTTCATACTGAAAAGTTTGATGTCTCTATTTCATGAAATTGGAATAAAATTTGGGGGTCACCGGCCATCCAAGAGATTTTTTGACCACTAAAAATGAGTGCAAAAAGGCTAAATATAGGGAAAATGGACATAAAACCTCTTTGATTGAATTTTCACAGCAAACAAAATGACAGAAGTTGCTCATTTTTTCATACTGAAAAGCTTGATGTCCCTATTTTATGAAATTGGAATAAAATTTGGGGGTCACCGGCCATCCAAGAGATTTTTTTACCTCTAAAAATGAGTGCAAAAAGGCTAAATATAGGGAAAATGGACATAAAAACCTCTTTGATTGAATTTTCACAGCAAACAAAATGACAGAAGTTGCTCATTTTTTCATACTGAAAAGCTTGATGTCTCTATTTTATGAAATTGGAATAAAATTTGGGGGTCACCGGCCATTCAAGAGATTTTTTGACCTCTAAAAATGAGTGCAAAAAGGCTAAATATAGGGAAAATGGACATAAAACCTCTTTGATTGAATTTTCACAGCAAACAAAAATGACAGAAGTTGCTCATTTTTTCATACTGAAAAGCGTGATGTCTCTATTTTACGAAAATTGGAAAAATATTTGGTGGTCACCGGCCATCCAAGAGATTTTTTGGCCTCGGTAAATGAGTGCAAAAAGGCTAAATATAGGGAAAATGGACATAAAACCTCTTTCATTAAAATTTCACAGCAAACAAAATGACAGAAGTTGCTCATTTTTTCATACTGAAAAGCTTGAAGTCTCTATTTTATAAAATTGGAATAAAATTTGGGGGTCACCGGCTATTCAAGAGATTTTTTGACCTCTGAAAATGGGTGCAAATAGGCTAATTTCTGAATGGATATAGGGGAAATTGGAAAAAAACCTTTTTTTTTTAATATTCACAGGAAAAAAATGACAGAACTTGCTAATTTTTATGCCCCATCGTAGCTGTTGGGGCATTGAATTTTACCCTTGTCCGTATGTAAGTCTGTTCGTCCGTATGTACGTCCCAGATTTGATTTCCGTTCTCCAGATTTTATTTGCCTCAACCAAATGTTATGAAACTTTATCACAATGTTTTTACCACACAACACACACCAAGTTTTAATTTTGTTGGTGTCACTTTAACCGTTCTAGAGTTATTCCCCTTTACAAATTGAAAAATTGCTGAATTTTTCCTTTCCTTTCTCTAACTTTAGTTTGCTTTTACCAAATGTTATGATTGATATCTTGCAGTTTCCTTTGCATTTTCTTATCAAACTTTGAAGTATTATTAAGTATCATGTGCAGATTTCGGTGTAAATAGGCTGTGTTTGCTTTATATATAAGACTCATTTCTAAAGGAGCACCAACATAAAATATTATGTAAAGGAAACATGGCATTTTCTGTTTTTTTTCTTATTATGATATGAGTTAGAATGTCCCATTAGTATGGTTAATCTTTCTTTTATCACACATTAAAGATTCAGATAAATGTGAGCATTTGTTCTCGTTTTCTTTTCATTTCTTTTTAATATTAAAAAAAATACATTCCGAATAAATTTGACAAAAAATAGACTTACCATCACTACCACACATAATCAGCACAGTAAGTGCCCCTCTTTTTCCACTCCATTTGATTATCCAGTATTATGTGGTGATGTGCAAGTTATAATTGTTTTTTTTGTGTGTTACGGAGTTGATTTAGGGAATTAACATGACTAAACATATTTCTTGATAGAAGTGAAACAACAACATGTGATCTAATACATTTATTTTATTTTCAATGGATATCTGTTCTTACGTTTGTTTGTACATATATAATTAAATAAAGATGCCAAATAAATTACATGTTTTTCTCAGTTAGAAATACTGTTTGTAGTAACTAGGTTAAATAATTTCACTGAATAAAATTTGCAAAGGCCTTGCTAATAATATAAATTTTTAAAAACATATTAAGACATTTTGCTTTGGACTTCAACATGACAAATTCTAGATTTAACCCTAATTTGGTTTATTATACAATTATTTGCAAAATGTAGATCATAATGAATATGTGTAAAATTTCATTAACTATGTTCAGCACAAACATTGACCTGACCAATACCTGAATACATGTATCATCATGTAAACATCAAATAGTCATGATTGAAGTCATCAAAATACTGTTTGTTTGAATATATTTGCCGTAACTTGTATAAGTCTTTCTGATATCATTTTATCCCATATTCATTCTTTTAAAGATGGAGATCTCCTTCTTTCCCATCCACAGAGGTAGGAGTATAATTATGCCAGACATCTCATTCAAAATTTTACTTTTTGAATATACAGTATTTTGATACTTCTGTACAAATAGATGAAAGTATGTTATCTATAGATAGCTTTTTAAAGTTTCAACAGCAATAACATTTCTCAATAACCTTGGATGTCTTTTTACTAATATAAACACCTGAGAGAAAAGACTACAATTGTTCCTGCAGCTTTTTTATAATTGTTAAGCTATTTTCCAAAAATTTCTATATACTTGTTCTAATTGCCTGTACAAGCAATAAAAAAAATCCACCAAAATATATATAAAAAAAACACAGAAAAGACTAAGATTTATAGAACTGTTAATTCAACATATTTTAAAACTCTTATCTCAAGTTGAACTTTTTTTCAAGAAAGTGTACAGTCAAAATTTATCATACTATGTTCATACAGTCTATCTTTATGAACAAAATTTGGGTTATAGCCTGATAAATTACTTCACTGGATTATGTATGCATTAAAAACTCAAATGCATCTCATCCAGTAAGTAATGGTTTTCCAATCAACAATAAATTATTACACAAACTTAAAAAAATTGATATCTAAAAAAATTCAAGGTTCATATAAAGTTGTATAACTATCAAAACAATTTGGTTTATATCATGAAGATATGTCTACAATACATTTACAAATATTACAGCAGGGCTCACGCTACCATTTACAGTAATTTACAGTACACATTAATGTTTATCTCTGATCATGAATTTCAACAAAAGATTAGTTAAGGTAAAGTTCTGCATAACAACGATCAATTTTCTAATTCTTATCATACAGGAGGAATAATATTTTATGTTAAAACTTCATGACCTCCCCTGTAACTGTATCATATGCTCTTAAAGTATTACCACTGACTGACTACCTTATATAACAAAACATATTTTTCCTTTACTTTTGACTAATTAGATACTCATATACTCTTTGTATAATTTTTTTGTTTGATGTCACTCTAACTACCCCAGTTGAAGACTTTTCTGTCATTAAGGCTTTGAGTCCTGCCATGTCATTTCGTTGTACTGCTAGTTGGAAATGTTGAAACCTTAGGTTAGACCTCGCTGTCTTTAGTGCCATAGCTTTTGACAGACATTTTGATTGAACTAGCTTTTCAAAAGTTTTCAAGTTGGCCAATTGAATCTGGTATAACTGAGGGTAGCTAGGTGAAAAAGCAAGTTCACTAATAAATTGAGAAACATTACCTTTCTCAGTGACTAAATTAAAAAGTAATTTTGTGTCATACACAGCATTATGAGATTCATACTGTTGACCTAATAGTTTGTCAACAAGAAAAGACTGGCTATAAGATGACAAGCCAGGTGAAACAAGTTTAAACAAATTCAAAGAGTCTAAAAATGCAACAGTACTTGCACATAGTTCACTGTACATATTCATACATTTTAAGGTATGAAATAAAACATGGCAGTCAAATCGTTTTATATTATGTCCTACCAATACAGGTTTATCTGTGAAACTTGACAAATAAGTTAAAAAATCAGTCATTCCTTCATGTTTATGCTTATAAACAACAGCATTACCATTGTAATACATTTTTTGTCCTACAATAGTGATTTTTGTTATTTCTGATGCTTCTCTTGAAATTTGTTGGTCTGGAAATATATATCGACTGAAGGAACTGTCTTTGGTGCATGCAGCTATCTGGGTTATATCAGAATATCTACCTGAAGTTAAACATTTTGTTTATTATTGTGCATCTAAAATGTAAAAAGTATTTCGAAAAAGCAATTAATTGTCAAAAAATTATCAACAGGACTAAGTCTTCTATCCCCCTTATTTGAACTTTAGTTGATGGTCTTATTGGCAATTATACCACATCTCCTTATTTCATATCTCTCTTCATTGAAATAACTAAAAAAAATTAGTTTTGCTCCACTGGTCTGTAAATATTTTTCTAAAATTATCATCTTTGTATTTTATCTCACCTCCAAAATAAGGTAGATGCAAAGTGTAAATTGCTAAAAAAAAATGAAAGAGTTATTGCCCCTTAAATGTATTGTTTCAGCAATTTTCAGTTTTTGGTTTTATTTCAACTAAAAGAAAAAAAGAACATTAGAATAATCATCAAAATCAAGCTAAATTATCAAGGTGAGTCATTCATGATCCTCTTAATATACTTTATTCATAATGCAGCCTAATATGCATTGAATTTAAAATTTGGCTTAACACAGTATATACAGACAGTGATAATGTGTTTCTGTAGATATTGTTATATCTTTGATGTCATGAAAAAATGCAGTTCTTTCAATTTTAACGTTATCCACTGAAATATTTTTTTATAATTGAGGTAACTCATTTCTGAAGTTTAATTATGTATAACTTACTTAAACCAGTTGTCTCTAAATCAAAACAAACTATTGGTGCATCATCTATGTTTGTAAAGGTTTCAGCTTCAGGAATTGCAGGTATTTCTTCTATGTCTATTGTTGCAAAATCTTCTAACCCTAATTAAAATAAAATATACCAAGTCTTTGAAAGAAAATAATTTCAACTTTATAAAATATCAAAATCTACTAAAATCATTAATATTTTGTGACTAAATTGTCCCAAAAATTACAATACTTCAGAAGTCTGGTAAATTTCATGATTACATCTTCATGTTAATTATATAACTTTAATGTCTGGCTGAAATCTCACGCATTTTCACAGTTGGTGATTAATTGCACAGTCACTTTATAATTTGAAAACTTTTTTGACTTGGGGACATAAAAATATATACATGAATATTACATATGCATGGACCTAATGGTGTAGCATTCTCCTATTTGGATATAATGATCACATGTATCAAAGATTATTTTATATATCCTTTGTTTCTATTTTAAAGTATATTGATGCTATGTTTCTATTATAATAATAATTATGTATATTGACCTCTTCAAAAGTAAAAAGCACATCATACTTTCTGTCAATATAAGAATTATTACCGATTGAACTGTGGTATGTTCTCCCTTCTTTGACTTCAGCCACTGTTGTTTTTTGGAGGCGTTTCTTTTTGAGAACTTTACGTTGTCTTTTTCCCTGTTTGCTTTTGAATCTGTTTTTGTTGCCCTCTCTCTTCTTGTTTAATTTATTACCCCTGCTTAGGGTCTCATTTCCAGGTGACAGGCCTATAGATGTGTTTAACTGAAAAATCAATTCATTTAAAATCATGCAAGTCTTTATCATCTTTATAATAATTCCTTAAAAAAAATCATATTTTGTATGTTTTTGCAATGAAAGTTGAAGGCATTTTGTAGTATGAATGTTACATTTTGAGCAGCAATAATCAATCATTGAATAGAATTCGGCAAAATTGAGATTAATCTTGACCTGATGTAGAATAATCAGAATATTTACCCAGGAATCTTTAACAGTTGATATCATAATGTATTCTTTTTTTTGCTCATTTTTAAAGGCTGTAAAAGTAAGGGCTTTTCCAGAATTAATGGTATGGGAGGGAGGAATGCACTTTTATTAAAATTTGATGGGTGGTGGTTATTTAAGAAAGATTGCCTGAACATTTATATGAAATATCCAATTTAAAATGTATGCATGGTGGGGTCAAATAAAAAGTGCCTTCCTACCCCCCCCCCCATGATACATTTATTTTTGGAAAAGCCCTAACATAGTTGCTTAGATATGTCTTTTTGTCTTTGGTAAATAGATGTCTCATTTGCAATCATACCGTATTTTCTTATTTTTATATTTTTTTAGTTTATTTTTTTTAATAGAGAAGTATATATATATATGAAGTAAGATTGCATTTATTACACATTCATTGTGATTATTATAGCCTTAATGTTAGTTGCTAATTTCTGTTCAATTGTCTTAATTGCAATTAAGTATAGAAGTTCATCAAATAATACCTCAGCAATGTAATTATAACCCTCATTCTTTTGGAGTACAGCTGAGCTGACTCTATAATTTAAAGATGCTGATGTGGAGAAATGTTTGGTTTTTGGAGCTTTGAGAGCAATTAAGTTATTGAAGCTTTCATTTGCCTGTGATGAGCCCAAGTTAGATAGCTTTTTAGACTGTGGAACCATTTTTTGAATAAACAGTTTCTCAAGATCTGATCTGAGTTCAGACGAACATAGGTCTTTTCCACGTGGAAGATTTGAATGGATATAAGAATCCTTGTCTTTAAGGTATCCGCACCAAGTTTCATTGCAGTTATCATGTTCGCCAAATATGTGTTTTATTGATGCATGTAGGCCGTCCTCAATACCACTCGGATTACCTACATTCTGGTTGACAACGTATGTAAAGTTTTTAACAATTGCATCACAAACCATTCCAGTTAACTCTTTGTGTTTTGGCTTTAGTTCATTTATCTTTGAAATAATGTTATGTTTGATATGATTTCTATCACTTATTTTTTCCATTTTTGAATTGGGCATTAATCGCTTAGCTCGGTCAAACCCTGTGGAATCATCATCTCCTACTACTTGTAATATATCCACTCCTTTTTCATCTAATTCCTTTAACATTTCGACTACCATATCTGGTTCCATACCCTGAAATAGTTTTTAAAATAATGTGTATTCAGTAAACATTTAGATGATACCACAACCCCATATTTGATTATCAAAAGCCTTAAACTTTGCATTGACAAAATTTTTTGTAAAAATTCCTCAAAAATTGAAAGCTTACACAGTTTGATTAATTCAGCAGTTGTATCTAACAATTCTAATAATCTGTCAATTATTTGAAATTGAAATTTTTTGGAAACACGAAAGAATGAATGGTCCTCACATTCAATTTTATCAACTAAACATTGAATATGCCAATTCAAAATTACAACTTATTGTCAAAGTAAATATTGAAGTGTTGTTTGTTTTCACAATGCAAAGATTACGGGATGTATTATGGGATGTCGTTGTCCGTCTGTTCTTCTGTTGTCAACATGTAGGACATTAAATTAACTCAAAAACGCTTTAACTAATTTGCATAAAACTTTGATGAATTGTTATGTATATTGATGTGAGATCCCTTTGGTTTTTTATAAATTTTAGATTTTACATTTCCAAGTTATGGGGTTTTATTCATTAAAAAAGGGGTGATTTTCCAGTTTTGGACAATGACTCAAAAATGCTTTCAGCAATTCTCATGAAACTTTAGTGAATTGTTTATATCTATTGATGTAAGCTCCCTTTTGATTTTTATACATTTGAAATATGACATTGAGAAGTAATTGAACTTTTTCTTTGAAAATGTGACGGGCGTATCATGTGCTCATGGCGCAGCTGTTTATTACCATTGTTATTGCTTTCATATGGTAAATACCTTAGCCTAACCACTCCAATTCTTTCTACACTTATGTTGTCGTGGTAAGACACCTCTGCTCTTTGCCCTTTCACAAATTCTACAGCTTGATATGCGAACCTTATGGTTTACAACTTTGCCTGTGGTTTTTCCAATCAGTGTTGAAACTCCTTCAAAATGCAACATATTGAAGTTTTATATCTAAATCACAATGTTCAAGCCAAGATTTGAAAAGAACAGGTTTATATTGAGCATATCAAAGAATCCTCAATACTAAAATGTTGTTGAAATAAAACAAAATTTAATTTTGGACCCCAATTTCGACCAACTTGAAAACAAGGCCAAACAAATCAAAAATCTAAATACACGATAAGATTCACCATATCAAAGAACCCCAAGATCTCAACTTTTGAAGAATCAAAAAAAAAATTTGACTCCTTTACACCTTAATGTGAAATTATTTATTTGAAAATTGGTACCAAATTCAATAAAATGCTCCACTGGGCGCAGCTTGATACGACAGCAGAGGTTGAACCCTAAATAGTTGGGGCAAGTATGGACACAACATTCAAGCTTGATACAGCTCTGAATTTGGATTGTGATTAAATATTTGACACAGCATAGGTTTCTGACACAGAATGAATGTGGTCTAAGAACTTAAAAAATTTTAATTTACCTATTATGGTCCAATACCCACAATCTAAATACATGGTTAGATTCAGCATATCAAAGAATTTAATTTTTGATGAAATCTATATATAAATCAGAAATAACCAACTTAAAATGGAAAATTTTTAAGAAAAAAAAAAGGAAAAAAAAATCCCCCCCCCAATTTTTTGAACCCCCTTATGATTCATCACCCCCAAACTCAATCCCAGCCTTCCCTTTGTGGTATGGTACCTTGCAGTACAATTTCAGAGAGATCCATACACTTGAACACAAGTTATTGTCTGGAAACTAAAAAAATGCTTATTTTTGGCCCCTTATTCCTAAACGTTTTGGGCAATTACCCCCAAACTCAATTCCAGCTTTCCCTTTGTGATATGGAACCTTTTAGTACAATTTCAGATAGATCCATACACTTACACACAAGTTATTGTCATGAAACTAGAAAAATGCTTCTTTTTTGCCCCCTTTTTTGCCCCTAATTCCTAAAATTTTGAGGCAATTACCCCCAAAATCAATCCCAGCAGTCCCTTTGTGATATGGAACCTTGTGGTACAATGTCAGAGAAATTCATACACTAACACACAAGTTATTGTCTGGAAGTTACAAAAATTGCCCCTAATTCCTTAACTGTTGGTACCATAACCCCCAAAATTAATCCCAACTTTCCTTTTGTGGTATTGAACCTTATGGTAAAATTTCATAGAGATCTATTCACTTAAACTAAAGTTATTGTGCGAAAACCAATTTGTCTTCGGACGACGACGACAACCACGACGACACCAACGTCATACCAATATACGACCGCAAAATTATTTTTTGCGGTCGTATAAAAATCTAAATACATGGTTGTATTCGATATACCAAAGAACCCAATAATTTAATTTTTGAATTTTTGAAAAATTTTAAGATTTTAAAAAATGTTGACAGCTTTGGATATTTTATGTGGACTTATCTATTTGAAAATTGGGACCAAATTCAAAAATCCAAATATATTGTAAGATTGGGCATATCAAAGAATCCAAAAAATGCAACTATGAATAAAGTTTAATTTCAGACCCTTTGGATCTCAATATGCACCAATTAAAATACAGGGTCCAAAATCCAATAGATTCAACATATTAAGAACCCCATAAATTCAAGCCTGTGAATTAATCATAATGAAATCGGTCAAGAAAAAAGCAGTTTATACAAAGTATTAGAAGTATTGTTTTTAGCCTGGTGAGCATTTTTAATTTCCTATGGAAATTCATATTGGAAGGGGAGATAACTCCGCCAAAAAACAAATGAGTCTTTTTTTTGTCAGTTTTTGGTTGATTTTCTTAAAATTTATGTAAAGTATGATACTTAGATGTGGTTATAAGTTCATATTTGACTATATTATATAATCTTCAGCTCATGAAATGTACAAAACCAAAGAATTATGGGTATTTTTATTATGCCCCCACCGTAGCGGAGGGGGCATTAAGTTTTACCCTTGTCCGTCTGTACGTACGTACGAACGAACGTACGTACATCCCAAATTGGTTTCCGTTCTCTAACTTTGGTTTGCCTCAACCAAATTTTATGAAACTTATACACAATGCTAATTACCACAAAACACAGATCAAGTTTGAATTTTGGTGGCGTCACTTTTACCGTTCTAGAGTTATGCTCCTTTACAAATGGAAAAATTGCTGAATTTTTTGTTTCCGTTCTCTAACTTTAGTTTGCCTCAACCAAATGTTATGAAACTTATACACAATGCTTATCACCACAAAACACAGATCAAGTTTGAATTTTGGTGGCGTCACTTTAACTGTTCTAGAGTTATGCCCCTTTAGAAATGGAAAAATTGCAAAAGTTTTATTTTCCTCTAAATATCAAGTTATTAATTTTTAGAATTGGAGTTATCTTCCTTTGTCCATGATTATAGTTGAATCAACTACACAATGCAATGTTTAATTTTGACTTCCACTGATAAAACACAGATCAAGTTGAATTTGGGTAGTGTCACTTTAACCATTATTGGGTTATGCCCCTTTATAAATCGAAAGATTGCAAAATTTTTAGTTTCCATTCTGTAACTTAAGTTTGCCCCAACCAAACATTATGAAACCTATACACATTATTCATTACCACAAAACTAAGATCAAGTACAACATTTTTGTATCCGTTTTCTAACTTTAGTTTGCCTAAAACCAAATGTTATGAAACTTATACACAATGCTTATTACTACATAATACAGATTAAGTACGAAATTTGGTGGCAACACTTTTACCATTCTTGAGTTATGTCCCTTTATAAACATAAAAATTGCTGAAGTTTTCGTTTCCGTTCTGTAACTTTAGTTTGTCTCAACCAAATGTTATAAAACTTATACACAACCGTTCTAGAGTTATGCGTGTTTACAAATAGAAAAATTGCTGAGTTTTTAGTTTCTGTTCTCTACTTAAGTTAGCCTCAACCAAATGTTATGAGACTTACACACAATGCTTATTACCACAAAACTGAGATCAAGTTCAAATTTGGGTAGCGTCACTTTTACCGTTCTTGAGTTATGTTCCTTTATAACAATATGATGTGCAAGCAGGGGCATCATCTGTGTCCACATGTGGACACTATCCACATTTTTTTTGTTTTTTTCATTTAACAAATTGCAAATTTGTGGCTTTGTGACCATTTTGAAAAAATAATGTGAAAATTTGGTTTAGTTTATATCTGTATATTATATTTGTTCAGCATCTACCTTGTTTAAAGAAACTTTAAACCACAAAAAGAAGAATATATAAATAAATGGTCAACTAATGAATGACGAAATCTAGAATGTAGCTTGATAAAAGATAGGGAAACACCTTAAGAGTTGTTTGTTATACTCTAAAGAAGGCTAAAATATCAACAATCAATACATTCTATTGAATAGAAGCGGTAAAGTTATAATTTTGTATCAATTTTAATTGATATTTCTGCCTTTTTTGCAGAGTTATCTCCCTTTTTCAATGCAAATCTCCATAGGAATTTCAAATCATGATTTTTTAGTCTTCCTCAAGTAAGAATATATGGAACTTTTTTCTGTGTATATTTGGGGTATAATGCTAAAGATTAAAACTTTAAAAATCTTCTGTTGCAATTACTTTAAGGTTAGGGTCAAATTTATGCTAGATTGACTGGACTAATGGGTATGACTGTGCGGTATGGGCTTTGCTCATTGTTGAAGGCTGTACGGTGACCTATAGTTGTTAATTTCTGTGTCATTTTGGTCTCTTGTGGAGAGTTGTCTCATTGGCAATCATACCACATCTTCTTTTTTTATAATGGGGTATATTCCAAAAAGAAAGCAACTAATATTTAACAAGCAAAATGCATTTCTATAGATCCACTCCACCAGGTGATCACACTGAATGGACATGAAATAAGCACTGTCATTTTTACCTGATAAGCTGTTGTACGATCGGCCAGATCCTTTTTTCTGCCAGCATGTATCAGTACTTATGCATATTCCACTTCTACTGTCTGTTTGATCTTCTAATTTAATAGGGAAAAAATGCACATATAATATATATATATATATATATAGAAATAAGCAGTAATAATAGACCACTTCTGTTCTCCACTTTGGACTTGACTGTCCTTAATTAGTGTGATTAATTAATATCAATCTTGGTATAGTCTGTATAATTGATTCCACAAATGCTCCTCCAGTCTTGACTCTGTCTCGACCTGTGTCTACAATCATGATCTTCAAATTTAGTCTAGACTGGTCTGAATGAGCCTATCTAACTATATAATGAATTTTATCTTAATCTTACAAAATTTCAGGTTATTTGGTAGTTTGTTCATTGCTGTCAAATTAAAGGCTTTGATTAATAGGTAGAAAAAAATAGAATTTTCAGTTCTGATTAAATTAATATAGTGACCTTTAATTATAACTTTAAATTTTTCCAATTAACTTAGATTTTCATAAAACTTTGCAGCTATCTCAATTATATATTGATCTTACAGAATGCCATATTGTTTGGTAGCTTGGTGTATTGCTGTCAAATTGAAGGATTTCATTAATAGGTAAAAACAGCAAGAATTTTCAGTTTGGACTAAATTCTGATTGTCACCTTTAAATTTTTATAAAACTTTTCCAAATCAACTTGGATTTTCATTAAACTTTATAGCTATCTGAATTATATGATGATGTTACAGAATGCAAGGTTGTATGGTAGTTTAGAGTGTAGCTATCAAATTCAAGGACTTAATTAATTGGTTAAAAAAAGCTAGAATTTTCAGTTTGGAGTAAATTCTGATAGTCACTTTTAAATATTTTCATAACTTTTTCAAGTTATAATTTTGATTTTTCATCAACATCTTTAGCTATCTCAATTAAATATTGATCTTGCAAAATACCAGGTTATTTGGTAGTTTTCAACTTTTGTTTATTGCTGTCAAATTTAAAAATTTAATTTATAGGTATCTTTATGAATTTAGACCCAATTGAAAATTGTGACTTTTTTTTACCTATTAATTAAATCCTTAAATTTTATGGCAATCAACAAAATAGCCACATTACCTGCATTTTGTAAGATCAATATATAATTAAGATAGCTGTATAGTTTTATGAAAATCCAAGTTGATTTAGAAAAGTTAGAAAGAAAATAAAAGGTGACTATCTGATTTAAGTACAAACTGAAAATTCTTGCTTTTTTTTGGTTGAGATTGTAGAAACTGAGTCCAGACTGGTTGAGCATTTGTCGAGACCATATTCAGACTATACCAATATTATCAAGTACTCAATCAGGCTTATAAAGTAAAGTATAAGAAAATGTATATAAATACAAAATAGCCATAATTGTTATCAAACCTGTTGTGGAATTCAATATTTCCCTTTGCAAGTGTCTTTGTTGTGACATGATGACCTGATTCTCAAGAACACTGCCGGCTTCATTTTCTCTAATTTTCAAGGTCTTTGCATCTATGCAATGGACATTAAGTGATGACAAAAAGTTGTTGAGCTGAGTCTCGCCAATACCAGCATGTATCATTCCTGTATTGTTTATTATATGATTAAAAGATGTTTAATAAAAATGAATTGTGAATACATCAAAACAATTGGTTCAATGTGTATTTTTAACATGTTTAATGAAGTGTTTTTCACAAGGCCTTTCATGACCTTTCATCATCACTACAAATTCTGTAATTGAGGCTATCAGAATTGTTTTTTAATGTAATATATATGTGAAGCCTAGGTGGTCAAGTGGTCTAACGTGTTGGATATAGTGCAATACGATTTTGTGCCACGATATCTCAGTAGTATGAGTTTGAATCCCGGCGAGGGAAGAACAAATAAATTTGCGAAAGCAAATTTACAGATCTATAACATTGTTCGGCTGATGTTTAGATGAATTATAAATATATACCAGTAGACAGATGGTGTTATAAATGTGTTTGATGCTATAATTTATATATTAAATCCAAGGTATAACTAATGATTTTGTACATGATGTGTTTTTTTTTTCATTTTTCTCAATCAAGTAATTCTTTCTGTCAGTATTGTTCTTTTGTATTGCTTTAATTGTTATTTTCTTATTATGTTGCCCCTTCAAAAGCGCCTCGTTGTTTCTATAACTTGAAATAAAGTATAATTTATATGTTATTCTTCTATACATGTACAGATGTACAGGGTTAAGTTCTTCTCATATATTTTATGATAGATATAGGAAGATGTGGTATGAGTGCCAATGAGACAACTCTCCATCCAAGTAACAATTTAAAAAAGTAAACCTTTATAGGTCAAGGTACGGCCTTCAACACAGAGCCTTGGCTCACACCAAACAGCAAGCTATAAAGGGCCCCAAAAATTACTAGTGTTAAACCATTCAAACAGGAAAATCAAAGGTCTAATCTATATAAAAACGAGAAACACGTATGAACTACATAAACAGACGACAAATAGTATGATACTAAACCCCTAACGGAAGGGATAGTCATGATAGTGTTGATATTCATATGATGAAACATAATCTTTCAATCAGTTTAATTGAGGTCTGGGGCTGGCATGTCAGTAACAGTTGGTAGTCATTTGTAAATTTATGTATAATTGTCATTTTCTTTAGTTTCTTTTGTTACCTATTTTGACATCGGACTCAGACTTCACTTAAACTGAGTTTTAATGTGCATATAGCCATTGGCTTGAGATCTCACAAAACATGTTTAACCCTGCCGCATTTTTGTGCCTGTCCCAAATCAGGAGCCTCTAGCCTTTGTTTGTCTTTTATGATTTTTAATTATAGTTCATATTTATATATTTCGGTCTTTCAGAGTTTACATGTACATGATGTAGCTATATATATATATATAGTATGACGTCCTTATTCAATGAACTAGTACACATTTTTGTTACGGGGCTAGCTGAAGCATGCCTCAGCGTGCAGGATTTTCTCATTGTTGAAGACCCATCGGTGGCTGTTTTCTGCTCTTTGGTCAGCTTGTTGTCTCCTTGACACATTCCCCATTTCCAGTCTCAATTTTACAACCAAGAAAATGTTATGCTATTTTATAAATAACAGATTTATGATGAGATGAACATAAAAGAAAGTCAACAGACACTACTACTTTTCCAGAGGACTAATAAAAATGTCAGGTGACATATGTGGGGTTGGGAAGGTTAGAAACTCTACATGAAAGAAACCTGTTGCAGCTTTCGTGTTGACATCAAAAATTCCAACACCTTTCTTTTCTCTCCCAAAGTGGACCTTGCCTAGTTTAATTCTGTTTAAGGTTTGACATGACAAGTTTTGACAAATAATGTACACTATGCCGGTCAGTCCATAGCACCGGACTCCCTTTGCATCATGCAAATGTAAAGGTAAACTACATTCTCTGCAACCTTTTAGCTGGTTAGCCAATGTGTCCAGTTCGGTCACTAGTCTACAGTGACTTAAGGGAACAAGATCAGGTGGTATATATGTTAAGTCATCATCAGTTAATGTGCTTGCTGTAATGTTCTCTGTTGGTGTTACGGGGTTACAAAATGTAGCATAGGAATGATCCGATACTCGGTGGTTGTTTTTATGTTTTTGCTGAACTCTATCTAGAATTAATTTTGTTATTTTTTTGACAGATTTTGTTTGTGAGAATTGCCCCTTGTGGTTTCTGATGGAAGGCATAATTTCTTTAGAGCAGACTATTATTTATTGCGATTGTCGCATTGCGAAATTAACATCTTACCTCCATGGCCATTTTTTTCAAAGGGTGCTCCGTCACTTTCAAGTCCAATTTTAGTGATGTTAATTTGTGAACCCGCTTAATAATACACCAAAATGATTCTCAATATGTATTATTCCTGAGAATTAAGTCAGTCATCTTAATAAGCGGTTCACTTGTTTCATATCTTCTCTTTTTGTTGAGATTTTTTTCGACTACTCACCATTCACTTTTACCGGAAGTAAACATGCTACATTTCGTCCTATAAAAAGATAAATTAAACACATTCGTTTCATTGAATGATTGCAAAAAATATTATTCAAAGTAAGTTATCCGCTGAAAAAAATTGTTTACCAATGTTTTTTGTATTTATCGGGTTATCGTAAAAATATTTGTTTACGACAAGAGAATGCGCAACTTTCTGCGCAGAAGGCGCGAAAATTTAAACCCCCGAACTACCTTAATAGCGGAAAACTATAATAAGATATTAATTCAAAACATGCAATCGAAATCAAATATTTTGTTTTTGCTATCCAAGACTCCAAGTTTCGATCCACCTTTGGCTTGCATATCTTTTGCTTCTTAAATTCTTTTATAATAACAAACCAAAGTAATGTTTTCAACACAACGATTCAGAGTTGTACACCTGTCTTCACTATGTCTCATGTGATGATACAACGCAGTAGGTTTCGAGTGTCTGTATTGACATATAGATTATAACATGGCATTTTTCATATCAGACCCCTTATCACCCTAGGTCATGATATCAGCCCGAGAGCCGACAGGCTCGATGGATGATTTTGACCATGGGCTGATAAGGGGTCTGATATGAAAAATGACATGTTATGTTCTTTTTATCATATATTTCAGCAGAAACCATACAGACAAGAAAACGTTTTTAAAACTTTATAAAATTCATTTATTGTATTATTTGTCTTGCATTTATTAATAATATATTTTTCTGTTTCCTAATAATCGTTCTCTCATTATAATTAGTTATGTTTTTCACTAAAATGTACCACTGAGTTTTTTTTTCCGGAATTTGAAGTATGACGTCGAATGACGTCGAAATGCTTTCCGATAACGTTAAAGAAAGGCATGCGATATTAACCGGAAGCAGTTGATATAAACCGGAAGCAGTTGATAACGAAAATCATATCACACGGCTAAGACAATTCTTCAAATTTAATGAATAAATATACATACAAATTAGTTTTGTCAAGGGGTACAGTTATACCATTATTTTCTATAAGTTTATGATAAAATGCTTTATTACATACATTTTGTATAACCTTATCAACCCAATTAGGTTTTCGATCCTCAAGTTAATGTGTATCTCCTTTGTTCACTTTTCTTTATAAAATTTCCGTATATGTAAGGTTGTTCATGGCTTAACTTTTTGTCGGATACGTTTCTGGTTATGGTAAATCCGATAAGAGTTTTTGCTCTGATATTATAATAGATTTAGCTAATTATTAGGGGATAATATTTGTTCAATCTGTTATGTCACTGTTGGCAATATTTTTTATTTGTGTATTCCTTTTTTTTTTTTTTGGGTAAGAGATGCACTTGTCATGAAGATAATAATAAAAGTCATACTTTTAAATCAAATGTTCAACATGTTCAATATTTCATGTACGCAAAGCAATGCAATTTTCATTTTTGGATGGTACTGTTTATGTTTTTTAATGCTGTTTTTTTTTTTTATTTTTATCATTATTTCATGATAAAGTTTGCATTTTTATTTTCATTTCAAGCATGCAAGTATTTAAAAAGAATATTAAAATTGTTTCCCTTTTCTTTTTAAGTAAGTTTTGTATCATTTTTTTCCATTTTTCAGGTGAATCATTTTTCTTGTCATGATGTGCATCTTTTTGCATGTGTTCAGAAGTGCAGTATTAAAAAGAAATACATTAATACTTCGACATTCACATATTGTGTTGTTGTTGATTTTTTTTGACATATCCGTTTATTCAAATATATGTACCCTTTATGATATAACTGGGGTTCTAAGCATAATTCAACATGAACATCTCCGAAAGGTTATATCTCATGATCCTAAGTTCAGAGAACCCCTACACATCAATTGGAACCATATGTTCTGCAAAATAATTATGGATTGCATTGAGGACTATACCAAAGAATGGGCTAAAGGAGAAGAAGCTGAACTGGACACTTTGGTCAGAATTTGTCAAAATAATCAGGTCTCTGGTAAAACGTCAAATTCATAAGTTGAAAATCTGTGTGAATGATCGACCAAAGTCCGTTTTCAGAGACAAAGAGGGGTCATCTCTTCATGATAAATATGTTGTTGTTTCTGCGGACAAAGCTTCAAATCATATTTGTTTTGTATGTAAATCGTACTACTACGAGTGTCTTGTAAAATAATTGGGAATAAATGAGCACTCAAGTAATCCCACATACAAAAACATATCATTTGACAAGGAAATTTTGGCGAATCATAAGACCTTCATGGCTTCAATAAACATTACATTGAACAGCAAATCTGAGGACTTACCGTCTTTGTATTCGATACATAAGATTCACAAAATTCTGTACAAACCACGGTACATTGCCGGCTCATCTACATGTTCTACAAAGAAATTGTTCATTCGATTGACAAAACAAAAGGTCCGCAGTTAAAGAGGGTTTTCAGAAATGCAGTGAAACTGTTTACTCGCGTAGTGGTATTAACCATATGTGTATTCTAAAAAAACAAACATCTGAAATTGAAAAATCGTCTAAAAGAAATAATCCACAATGCTTTTCAATGCTATAAATGTATTGCTTTGGGATACCATACGGCATATTTTGTTAATAGTGAACAAAAAGGTAAATAGATATAAGAAGATGTGGTATGAGTGCCAATGAGACAACTCTCCGTCCAAGTCAAAATTTATAAAAGTAAACCATTATAGGTCACAGTACGGTCTTCAACACGGAGCCTTGGCTCACACCAAACAGTAAGCGATAAAGGGCGCCAACAATTACTAGTGTAAAACCATTCAAACGGGAAAACCAACGGTCTAATCTATATAAAAAACGAGAAACGAGAAACACTAATGAAACACATCAACAAACGACAACTACTGAACATCAGATTCCTGACTTAGGACAGGTGCAAACAAATGCAGCGGGTTTAAACGTTTTAATGGTACCGAACCTTCACCCTTTTTCCTGAAACAATAGTGTAACATCACAACATAGAAAGACACACTGTAAAATATCAACTTAAATAGCTAAACTCAATCAAAGGACATATTAACACCAGTGAACATACAACGTGCTACACAGATGAACAAGTGATCAGTACGCTGGAGTTTCTTATTGACAATATATTTTTTGAATTTGAATAAAAGCCAAACTTCCATATAATGGTATCAATTTTCTCCCAAAACAGCACACGACGAGTACAGCAGTCAAAAGGAGCTTTGTGTAAAATTGGGTTTAAATGTGACTACGCGAAAAAAATTCCTGCAGTACCGACTTTAATTTATTTTTATACTGGCTGTATATCTCTCTGGAACATGACAATTATCCGTATATGTATGCAGCTAGATTAAAGAAGTTCAGGGGAAAAGTTCCATAGGAATCGATTTGTTATGAAGCAAAATTTGACACTTTTAAAATAAGGATACTAAGAAAATTCAAACGGACCATTATACCGATTCAAACACTAAACGTGAACAGATCGAGAAGACCGCTAATGCATGTATAGAAATCAGTAATTGCAAAATTTTAATTTAAGACCAAACAGTCTATTTAGTTCTACGAATAATGTTTTTACTAAATTTTCGGGTCAAGGTATTTCGTGATTTTAGCTACAAACTATTATAAACAAATTACGAGAAATACTTCTTTCTATCACTAAAGCAACCTCAATATTGTTTGTTTTTCCAAATCGAAAAATCTTTGATGGTATTTAGAAAAATAAAAATATTCCTATAATAACACTAAAGCCCTGAAGCATAATTCTGTTTTCAAGTTAAATAGAAGATTTCTTTAAATCAATTAAAGATTATCAAGCATGTGGTTTAATCTTCAAAAGCTATAATTAGTTCATTCAAGGTAACATTAATATGCAAAAGTGAGGAAAAAAACCTTTCCAGTATTATAATCAATCAATAACTGATTTTTGTTTGGAAAGAATTCAAGAGTTCAAATACTACCCTCAAAAGTATAGGTTAATAGTCCCAAAGAGTATATGTCTACGACCTTTCAAAAAAAGATCTAGTATATAATTTAATTCCTTTTTTTTCATTAGTTTTCAAGAAAATCGTTGTTTTTGTCAAAACAATAAATCCGACATCATAGAACCAATTTCACATAGAGAAGGTAAAAAAGCCAGATTGGTATATTTGAATTGTTTACATCTGTTTCTATGGGCTTTAAAAGTTTAATAAAGGTGCATGATTTTGGATTTCATGCATCTTGTTTACGTGTTTTCACTTAATTTATAGTATGGAGCTTCGAGATATTTGTAAACTTTTAAATTGTAGACAAATTTTCATAAAACAGTCGATTGCTGTAGTTGCGAATACAAGTGGATCTTTTTTGTGCATAGGCATAAATTCCGCCGAACAAAATTCCACAGAAAGATAATAGATTGATCTTTTTAAAGCATTAATTTGCATCTCACCCCCGACGACAGTTTTTTTGGAAACAATCTTAAAAATGGGCAATAATTTCATCGAAAAGAGGAAGCCGAGTGCACCTTTTCATGTTCAGACGTGTTTGAGTTGACTATTCTGTCTTGATTTAATAACATTAAAAATTCACAGTACTAAAAAATGAAATATATGAGTCAAGTGAAATACCTTTCTTATGAGTCATAACAACAGAGTAGGTGTGTTCAAATAACATTTTTTTACTAAATGTACTTGACGACAGACTTTACAAATGGATCTTAAAAATGCATAACTTCAACAAAAAACTTCATTTTTTGTGTGTGTTATCTAGGGTTATTAGTCTTCAACTTCTGATTTTTTTAGTGTGCCCTTCCACGAAATATTTAATTAGAATTTTTGTAAATGTTTTTGAACTTTCGAAAATTCCACAAAAAACCGACAACCGATAAGACAATAGTTTTAAGTTGACTAAATGCAGAAATGTACATTAAACTCTGCTCAATAGCTAGTAGATACATTTGTCTTTTAAAACACAACCATCCCTACAATGGCTTCTAATTTTTACGATTGTGAAAAATTGATGGCGTAATGGGGGGGATAATTTTGACAAAGTAGAATCCTGACTGAAACATACGTCACAAAGTTTTATTTCGTCCATGTGGCGCTTCGCAATGTGCATAAAAACCTGACTGTTTGGTCATTTATCATGTTAATCAGTTGATGACAATTTGTAGTAGATTTGCTGATCATATCAATTTAATTCGTCTTTCTTGTTTTACTTAACTTTGGTTTCATTACAATGTGTTGTTGATTGTAATAGTCCTTTGTTGCTGTATCGCAAATCACCATGGATATATTAGCTTACGTGTTTCGCAAACTTTTATCTACATTTAATGTAACATAGTATGACTCGTTGTGAACTTAAACCACTAGCATTATCCGTATCAATAGGGTTGTTGATTGAAAACCAAAGCTTGCAACCATCTAGACTTTTTTCAACACTAACCTTGAAATTATGTGCATTTGCTTTAACAGTCAATCATACATATTACGAAATCGATTGCTTTATTATCCAAACAAGTATTACGCATACCAGTACACAAACAGGCGTCTGAGGAAATATCCATCACTCAAACAATAATGTGAATCTACGTTTCATTTTTTAAGCAGAGATTTGTTTTCATTTTAGTAATACGTCTGAAACCAAAACAGAAATACATATAGAGTGCTGTCCTAACTATATTTACCAGAACAGAAAATGTGAAGGTAATTTTGCCTTGTTGCATACTAATAACTTTTGTTGTTAATAGTTCTAGTGTTTTCATTCTTTCATATGATCAGTTGTAATTTTTTGTTAAATGTCAATGTGACAACACAACGGGATACAAAACCAAAACATATCGTGTTTTTTTCCAGTGAATCGGTCCACTTTTCTTGAGTGTAGATTAGGTTTTTCCGAGTGAGTTTACATGCGATCAGATCGATTTACTGTTATTTCGCGAGTTTTATAGTTTTATTAGTGACTGCCCATCTCATTTTGAATGCTTTACATGTTTTGAACACAGAATTTCCTTACAGCTCACTTACAATACAGTGTTTTCATATTGTCCGTGTTTTGTCGAGAGTAACATTTAAAACGTCCGGGTTTTTCAACAAATGATCCGGGTTTTTTTGAAGAAAATGTGACTGAGAAAGAAGACTTTCCTTGGCTTAAAAACTGACTTTTTCTAGTTTGTAACTGTAATTTGTAGCAATATGCCAACTTAACCTGCAAATGGGATATACATTTCCCAACTCATTCGGTATTCAAGAGCTTGCAGCTGCTACTCAGATCTGTGTAAAGAGTCACCAGTGTCTGAGCAAAAAGTTGATGAAAAAGGGTTATGTCAAAGAACGTCTCGTCTTTTTTCTAAAAAAAATGTTCATCGGAGGATACCAAGACCTTATTGATAAATATTCCGTATCAACTTCACAAATAATACATGATGGTCTTGTTGTATAGATTATAGGTACTGATGTTGTTTATCATCTAAATTACGTGTTATAGTTTTCTTTTATTTGTCTTTCTAAATTATTAACGTCTTTTTTGCATTCTTGTGTTTCAATGTTGCGTATATGCTTAGTTTTTATGCCATTTTGTATTTCTTTGTTGACGTATTTGTTTATTGTTATAGTGTTTGAGATTATAACACAATGTTGGATGATGTACCCCCATTTTTGACATTCTTACCTATTATATCTGTTTGTTTTGTTCACACATTGTTGTCAATATAATGGAATTTTATGCGACTGTCATACAAGTGAGAGGTTTAGCTAGCTAGCTTTAAAACAAGGTTTAATTTACCATTTTCTATATAAGAAAAGGCCTGTACCAAGTTAGGAAGATGACAGTTGTTTTCCAGTCGTTTGATGCGTTTGAACTTTTGATTTTGCCAATTGTTACGGGACTTTCCGTTTTAAATTTTCATTGGTGTTCGGTATTTTTGTTGTTTTACTTTTTTGACGAAGGACAATATTATATATTCTAAGTAAGCCAGAACAACAGATTACTATGTTGATCAAATTTTAACCATTTTCAATTTAAATTAACTTTCTGTTCTGAAAACATTTGACCATAACCTAATAGTATTACTATATTTAAGAATTCAATGGTTCCGTTTTGAAACGGTCTTAAGAAGCGAGTACGGGGACTCATAATCTTTTTAATTTCATTTCACGCCACCTTTGTTTTTACAGTCAATAATATTTTATGATTGATATATATTACAGTGACGAAAAAAATTTAGGAGCAAGTAAACTAAGGAAAAGTAGTAAACAATCAGAAAAATTAATAAAAACCCAAATATTTTACTAAAGGAGGACCCCCCCCCCCCCTAAAAAAGTAATAAAAATTGATAAATTAAAATAACATTTGAATAGAGTAGAATATCTAATAAAACATTAAAACAACACTTTATGATTTTATGCTATATGACTAAAAGGACCTTAAAAAATAGCTAAGGCCATCTAAGGTCAACTTTGCCTGATGGAGATGAAACCTTAGCCTCTTTATAATTTTTAAATTTATAAACGGACAATTCGAAATGATTGATTGTTGGTTGCTAAACGTCCAGTGGCAAATGTGTCATGCATGTTCAGGACGAGAACAAATTACCAATAAATCCAATAAGTAGGTCTTGTAACAGAGGACGTTCGGGTAAAGGTCGGGAAATTTAGTCTGCAACGGAAAATGAGAGTGTATTGGATATGGACAGAAATTTTGCCTTGCAACAGGCCACCTACCGACCCTTCAAAGAGCTGTTACAAGGGTTCTTAACGCGCAATGAGCGTAGTACTCTCTCTACACGCTCCATTCTGAAAGAACTTGGATGCGTACTTATTCAATGTATTCAATAAACAACGAAATGAATCATCTGTAAGCGTCAATAGGATCCTTTTGAAATAATAATAATTAAAAAAAATAAATGTATATATAATACGCGTTCACCTCACAATATACACTGACAATTGTTTAGCTATGTTGGTGCTTTATTACTGTGTGACCAAGCATAGCATACGCAGGCTCCTCTTCACAGTAGGAGCAATTGAACATTGTTGTTGATTCCATTTCTAGAACGATAAAACATTATTTCTTATGAAGCATGAATCTTGCAATCTGATTGATTAATTACCCGGGTGTAAAAAACACTACTCCTTAGTTCACCAGGGGATAAACAAATTTGTCTAAATTTCCCAAAATTCAAATTTTTGTCAAAATTATGAAAAATTTTGGAAAAAAATATTAAAAAAAAATTTAGATTAAAAAAAAAAAAAAATCCAGATGAAGAAATAATTTTCTTCAATATTCCCCAAATAATAAGAATTTAAAAATTTCGGTGTTGAAAACTGTATAATGGAAGTTGGTCATAAGATTTTTTTCAATTTTTTTTTCCAGGGAATAAGAAAAAAAAAATTAACGAACGCTAAAGAAGAAATAAATTCGTTATCTTGGTGCAACCAGGGGTTTACGGAATTTTACACCGGTATGGTACTGAAAGTTCATACGACCTTCGGCTGCGCCTCAGGGTGTACAGATTTTCAACACATGTGTAAAATTCTGTAAACTCCTGATTAGACCAAGATAGGTAATATTTCCATCAAGACAAATAGTAAATGAAACATTAAGGGTATATTTTCTGTAATAAACCACATTTACCCGCTTTACACACTATGTGCAATGATGTGTACGTACGTCTCAGCCTAACATGTCTGATCTCAAAAAACGATTGTTTACATCACGAAATATTTACTGTATAAAATCCATATCGGTACACTAACATGAAGATTTCTGAATGCAAATGAACGATGACTTTTTATGAAAGGTACGTGTTAATACAGCATTATCACACTGGTTTAATGCATTGTTTCGTGCTCTGAAAAGTACTTTATTTGAACCTTTTCATCGTTTTTTAAACGTAAATTCACTGACATATTACATTTTAATCCATAGGAATTTTGTTTTTTTTCATTCGATAAAACAAGGACACACTCGAAAAAACACTGACATATAAAAATGAATTTACTCTTCAAAATGTCCTTTTCAACGCAAAAACAAGAACTTTTGTAAAGTGTCCGTATATCTAAGTATACATAGATTCCATGTGCACATTTGCATTGGTATGTGTACAAAAATGGCTTTAATCTATATTTTGAAATAAAGCATTGTAAGGCTAAATTATACGTTTTTGAAACAAAATCATGTACGATTGATAATATCTTTTTATCAAAAATACTAATTTACCTTCTATGATTTTGTATATAAGGTTCTGGTATCTTTTTCACGTTTTACCAGAAAGGAAGTCTGTTTTTTTCACATTTTAGATCATATTCACTCGAAAAAAAGTGGTCGCACTCGAAAAAACCCGATCAAATCACTCGAAAAACCACGATCCCAGCCGGACACTATACCTATCGTGATAAACCAGTCTTCAACAATCGACAGACGACTAAACAGTATATCATGTTCTAGCCGGAGACTAAGAAAGTGGGGGATACATTTCGTTATCAGTTACGACGTGTATAATTATCAACTACTTATATTAAAGTAACTGAAATAATTCGATTTTCCAAAAAAATATCAAACGTTATGTTATGCATTTTTTCGCTGATATCGAACGCGATTTGATTTTGGTAAATGTTAATTGTATTACATATTGAAACATTCTATATTTAGGGTTATACTAAAATAACAAATGACAAAGTGGTACAACCTGTAAATTGTAATAAGATCATGGATACTTTTGCACAATTTTCAATACAGAACTAATTGTCGGCTTTTCAATATCTTCTAAATATATAATATTCTAGTCAATCCAAAGAAATCATAAATATGTTTTATGCTATTATGCTTTAAATTTTTTATTTTAGTTAATTTTCAACTTGTTTTTTTGTTTTTTTTTTTTTTTTTATGTGTCTGAGTTTAAGATGATTATAATGTTTGCAAATGATTTCTGTAGCATGTCCGCCTGGAAAATATGGTCAGGATTGCTCAGAGAATTGTTTGCCTAATAACTACGGAGTACAGTGCAAGAATATATGCAACTGTAGAGGTAAAACGAAATGTGATCCAATTCATGGTTGCATCTGCTTTAAAGGATTTACAGGGAGGCACTGCTTAGATGGTAGGGAAATTGTTTAAAATAATGGGTTTTTTTTAGTTAGTCACACTGCAAAAATTAAAAATGTTAAATTTATTCAACAAATTATATAATATTATCATATTATGTACATTTATGTCATCAATATATGATCATCCAACAAGTGATGCAGAAGTATACTATTAACTGCCTACCTGCGCTAGGTATGTACATTTAAGTCACTTGTCGGCAGACATGTAAGAAATGAAAAAGAATATTTGCCAAGCAGCTAACCACCTGAACTACTTAAGTTATATTTGGTAGCAGATAAATTAGATTCTTTGAATTCAAGAGAATGACTGTAAAGCTTCAAACTGATACACATGACGTCAAGATATCCTGTGCAATGGCGTTTTCTATTATTCTTTCTGCGGTGAAAGGATAAGAATTCTGTACGACGCAAAGCTCAAATCATACACATCGCTGTCGAATCGTAAACAATTTGAAATCGCCATGGTCATGTATGTCCATTGTCGACAGAGGCCCTAGGAACATACCGGTATGCGTCCATGGTGGTTAGAAAACGACAAGGAAAATTTTCTAAATAGAGTCTTTTTTAATAAAAGGGAGTACGTCAGCACGATAAAAATGAGCTCATCAGATGTCATTCTACGATCTCCCAACATTCTTTGCTCAACGCAAAAATGAATAACTCGCACGTAGAACGTAAATTTTAAATACGCTGTGGTTATAAGGTTAATATGATACGTATAAGAACAATGAAATAAATAGATAACATTAACGAACATTGTACAAGTCATATTATAGCTTTTTTGTTTACATTTCACAAATATTAATGCACATGATATGGAATGGGAAAAAATGTATCACGCCTTCGAGCATTTCTTTGTTCTTGTAATTGATTCATATATTAATCACTTCACAATTACTACGCCTTAAGTTATATTTTGTAGTTTTGTGCCTAGTGTTGATAGCAGCCATTTTAACAAAATGCATAGACTTCATGATATTCTTGTGAATTTTTTCTACACACACACACAGAAGAAGCCCAGATGACAACATAGGTTTTTCCACGATCGACTAGATTCATTACACGTGTGTGTGTGTGTGTGTGGTCTTTTGAATTTTGTTTCGTTGTAGTGTTCACCATCTTTTTTCCTACACATTAACACTGTAGTATATACTGATAAACAAAGTTATATTGTAAGTTTCGGCTATGTTAGTTCGTCTTGTATCTTTAAATGTAATAATTCTCATGACCTTATATATTCGTTAAAATGTTTTAATATCGGTAAACTTCTGCCGCCTTGCTTTTTGATACAAGTAAGTGATTTATCATAATTTACATTATTATCCATGTTAACAGTGTAATTAATATTATATGAAGTTTGTCCAACTGGCAGATACGGTGTGAACTGCAGTGAGGAATGTTTCTGTGCTCACGATGCTAAGTGTGATCCTGTAACTGGGTTTTGTTTGTGTCCTGCAGGATGGTTTGGGGATCACTGCACCAAGGGTAAATTCAAATGTACTTTATTTTTCATATTATTCTTGACTTTGAAGGTTTACACACATACAGTGGCGTAAAATTTAATAAAGCAACGTTGAAAGTGTCTGTATAACAGTCGAATGCGAAAGAGATATTTTACTGTTACAGGGAAAAAACAGTTACTACCATGTGACTATACTTACTCGTGCGTTTTATTGACTGATTTCCATAATAATGTTCTCTAATACCATGTGGTGGCTAGGTCAAGCAATTTCACTTTTAAATGTTGTAAATACTTATAACATTGACACGAGGGAAACAATTTTAAATGAAACTTTAAAGCTGATTTAAGTCGAAATAAAAATCACATATGAAAAGAAATCATAACATTTAGTTATAAAATATTTTGTTAAAAGTGATTCATTTTTAGCTTACCTGGCTTAAAGGGCCAAGTGAGTTTTTCTCGTCACTTGGCGTCCGTCGTCGTCTGTCGTCGTTAACTTTTTCAAAAATCTTCTCCTCTGAAACTACTGGATCAAATACAAACAAACTTGGGCACAATCATTATAGGGGTACCTAGTATAAACAATTGTCCGATGACCCCACCCGCCAACCAAGATGGCCGACATGGCTAAAATAGAAAATAAGGGTAAAATGCAATTTTGTCTATTATTTTGAAACTGTTATAAATAGAGAAATTCTGACAAAGCAACATTTTCATATTGATAGGCTCTGCCAATTGTTCATGAGGTCAAAACTGTCAGGCGACTTTTTATCGGAGTTATTGCCCTTAAATGACAAATTTTACCATTTGTTTGCATTTTTTCCATTTTTGCCTTTTATTTTGAAAACTATAATAGACGGAGAGAAACTTTAAGATGCAAAAATGATCAGCAAAATAAGATCAACAAATAAGTATGCATTGTTGAAATCGTCAGTTGACTCCTAATAAGAGTTATTGCCTTTTGATTACAATTTTTACCATGTTTTTGCATATTGCTTTAGATCTAAAACATTTTAATAGATATATAGAAACTTAAATAAGCAAAAATTATCAGCAAGACAAGATCTACATTTAAGACCATATGAAGGTTATTTTCTGACGACTCCTTATTGGAGTTATTTTTACAATATTTTTTTTTTTTTTTTTTTGCATTTGCCTTATATGATAAAGATTATAATAGATAAATAGAAACTTAGAATGACAAAATTGATCAGCGATGCAAGATCCACACACAAGTCAAATGTGGCCGATATAGTTAGTAGACTGTCACCTTCATATTAGTGATTGCCCTTAAATGAGGATTTTGTTTACCTTATTTTGTGTTTTGAGCAAGAACTAAGGAAGATAGAGAGAAACTAAAAAAACAAAATTATCAGCAATACAAGATCAACAAAAATAAAAATGTTTATCATGAACTCTATTCTACAATAGAACTTTAGTCTACAATGTTGGAGAGAGTCCATTGTTGATGATGCACATAGACCTAGGTGAGCGACACAGGCTCCTTTGAGCCTCTAGTTTTATACCGCATCGGATTATCTTGTAGAATGCCCATTTGAAAAATTTGGACAGAATTGCAATGGAACTTGTGACTGTTCAGATGACGAGAAATGTGATGTCGTAACAGGAGAATGCCGTAAGTGTTAGTCTAGTAGAAAACAATGTTATGAAAAGAAAGGTTCTGATGTGTTCGCTATAATAACATTGTCACTTATTTTAATATCACTTGAATTGGCGAGTCTTGTTACTCGCGATATGATTATATTCGGATGTAAAATTGAAAATAGCATAAACAGAAAAAAGGGGAACAAAATTCATCAAAGATACCAGACATGTAATTTGTTAATCCCGGCGCGCATTTCTTCTTTATAAGACTCATCTGTGGTGTTCGCTTCAAAATAGGTGGACAAATAGCATTAACAAAAAAAATCGAACTGTAAGGTAAATTTAAAAAAGGGGGGATGTCCATAAAACATGACATCAATCAGACACTTGACTCTATCAACCAACGGAACAAATGGAAACAGCATTGTTCAGTTGGAAGGCCACATTAAAAACGAAGTTGAAGAGAGTTAAAAACCGAAAAATTGTGCCAAATACGGCTTAGCCAATCTATGTCTGGAAAAAAGAATGGCAAACGGGAAAGCATACTGTAAACCATGTGATTTTTTAAAATATTTTTTTCCCGTTATTCCTTTGTTTTTGGGGCTTTTTTTGTTGTTGTTATTTTGATTTGGCTATCCATAATCAATTTACTTATATTTTCGCTTTGAAAGCCCTTTTAATCGAATTTAGTGATTTTTTCCGTACTATAAGAGACAATCCAAGTAGCACGTGCGCGACTATTCATAGTTGCTATATGCAATACTTTTTTTTTTAGTTGTCGAGTATTGGGATAATTGCATTTTTCATGAAAATGGTGTAGGTGGATTGCTGTCTGGTTCACAAATACGTTAAATATGTGAGGTCAGCAGCAACCAATCAGTCAATGCACCAAAAAAACAAATTTAGCGATTGAAATTATCACAAACCTAAATGATTACATATCGATAAAAGGACGTTTACACATATATTGTGGAATTCAGAATTTAACCACATTTGGTTTACACACATGCTTAGTCGGTTTCTTATTTTACACATTCTTGGTTTACGTTGTATACAGTATTTCTTCATCCCATCCTGCTGGGCAAATGCAGGTACCTGTTTTTTGGGGTCATAGCCAGACGCATGCCAACAAAGACATTCAGTTTTACATCAAATTGCCCATTATTTCCATTAACATGTTAAGGTATAAAATATATTACAATATATGGCTTCAATTCTATGCTATAATTTCTCTACCGTTTAAAAGACCTAAAAAGAAACATTGTTATAATATGAAGTAACCAAAATGACAAAGATGATATAACGTATAACTTTTTGTTTACAAATACACTAAACCAAATCTGAAACAAATAATTTTAAAATATTATAAATACAATGAAAACATATGACATTACTACATGTATTTAGTTCAAGTTGAAATAGGAAATCCGAATTTCATAAATATAAGCGTCATACTTTCTACATCAGGAAATGCCTGTACCAAATAAGGAAAAGGACAGTTGTTTTCTATTCGTTTGATGTGTTTGAGCTTTTGGTTTTGCCATTTGATAAAGGACTTTCCGTTTTTAGTTCGGTATATTTGCTATATTACTTTTCAGGGGCGGATCCAGAACCTCGATGTCTGGGGGGGGGGGCACCATGACGAAACCAAAATTAATTATTTTTGTAAAGATGCATATATGTGAGTGTTGGTCGGTTGGGGTGGGGGTTTATTTATTTATTTATTTTTTTTGGGGGGGGGGGGGGGGGGGGGGTCAGATCGTCGTTTCTATATTTCTATATCTTTTAATTAGCTACCATTTCACTTTCTTCTTTATTCTTCTGATCTCTATCATATTCGTCCTAAACATGCATGAATTATTGGACGTTAAACAACCAACAATCAATCTTTTCTTTATATTTCATCACCTCTTTATTCTG